CGTCACAAGTGAGGAAATGCTTGTTTATGAACATACTAATCCATAATATGTGACCATACTACCATTTTACTTGAACAGGTATAAAACCTCCAACCACATACCATTGCGTTAACTCTTTCATTTAAAAGACTTTAGAATAAGTTTCTTGACGGTTGTCTTCGATACAACTTGGAAAGTTTCGTATTATTTAAATTCGTAGGACATATTTTAGACTACAAACTAATTGCAGGTACTGACTCGCTCAGTCTGAGAACATTCGTGGGAACTTTCAATGTTTTATGAATATTTCTTTATCAGTTTACATATAGATAGAAATTACCACGTAGGTAGAACTACAAATAGTTCTAAATGTGAACATTTTTGATTAAAATCACGTCAACATTGACGCAGAAAACACACACACATCTACATTGCAACAATTATTTGTATTCATTATACTGATATCATCTGCTTTTATTTAAGTATTGAGGAAGTCTCCTTGGACATTCATTGATTAGACTCCAGCACATACAGACCAAACAATGTAAAATGCATTGAAACGACGCGAGACTGCCACTAGTGAACTATACGTATTATCTGTTACTACTAACATGCCTTTCCCATTATTCGTTGATATTTATTTATAATCTGTTACGAGTTTCTTGACGGTTGTCTTCGATACAATGTAGACCTAACATAATAGTACTAATAGTACAATAATATATTGCATTCAAAATATTGTTCCAAAGCTCATGGCCTTGGAACATTAGACCATGAAAATGCACAAGAAAATATGTGACTCAGTCAGACTGACACTCTAGTTTTACATAGAAACATGTTCAAAATGATTCCAAGTTGTTGTTACTTCTACACTGTTACTAGTACTTGAGAAATACTTGCATCATATCGTGTTCATATATTCACAGAAGAAGTTCTTCGACAATTTAAGAAGAACCTGTAAAGCCTTCCTCATGGCAATCAGTTAGTAAATATATAACTTGGTTTCCACGGCAATGTGTTTCTTGAAAGTTGTCTTCGATACAAGCTTTGTTCTGAATGATAAAATGTTATACTCGTATGACACAGACAGAGGACAAGGAGTACGTTTGACGTCGTCGTAGTGAGAGACTATGCATCACTCGGATATACTGACTAGGTAAGTGTCATGTCAAATTTTGAAATATTAGTTCTGGATGGGTCACGTAGAACTACTAATTGTAATTAGTGGAGAAATGGTTGTTTACATTTTACGAGGTTTATAGAGAACACCATGGAAACCATGGAAACATTAAGAATTCAATCAAAATACTTTTACGCGTACAACAATGTACTCAAACCGAGCGCGGGAACAGCGCCTGGTACTTAATATGTACAGGATACATGACTATGTACTGGTATCTTCAAATTATATTTGAATCAGTTCAATACAAGGAAGTTTCTTGACGGTTGTCTTCAATACAACGTTGACAGAACATAGTAACTAGCACTAAGAGTACAATTATGTACTAAAATATATTCCAAAGCACGGAAGCCTTCAGAACATTAGACCGTGGAAATGCACATGAAAACAAGTGACTCAGTCAGACTGAAGTCACAACAATTCACGTATCAAATATCGACGCACACAATTAGAACAAGCATACAGCTCATGTGATGGTTATACTCGTATGACACAGACGGAGGACAACATTTTCCAAATGATAATTATGGAAGTAATTTTCAGTGAAAATTGTGTGTATAAAGTGTATTACACGACACAGTATTGCAAAGCACGGGTGAGCATTGTTTCTCCTTACAAATAGAGACGACTCACGTTGACGCAAATATGCGACGAGAACAAGTTACTCCGGGTGGAGAACAAGCCTCGAATTCGGCTCCTATGACATTAGAGAGCGATAAAATATTATAATGTGGATGTTCCACACACAATGACCACTCCATTCCTAAGTGGGGAAATTGTGTTATCAATTAGCGAATCACAAACTGACAAAGGAAAATTGTTAGAAATTAAAACTCGACTGGACCCGATGTTTCTTGATAGTTGTCTTCTATATAACGCTTTTAAAACTAGAAAATATAATTATTTTTACTATGTATCCACTGAAGCAATAAAATTCAATACAAAACTTTATATAAAAGATAATACATATTGTTTGAAGAAAATTCAGTTTCTCGTACATTTTGACGCATGTCACATAGAGACGTTCCACAATTTCAAATTTAGAATAGAAAAAACAAATGACATGTCAGTGACGTCATGCACAAAATGACAAGGACAGAAATATCGTATTCCCTTTTTAACGCCATTTACTGAACTTTATTCGTTCTCAATATAAAAAAACAATTGACATAGGTATCAATGACGTCAGACCCAGAATGACAAGGATAGACACATTATAATAATCGTGTTCTCTTTCTCAATGTACGTTGTACAATATCTTATAGTGATACTTGCTATGATGTACATAACAATATAATTAAGTTTCTTGACGGTTGTTCTTCGATACAAGGTAGACCGAACATAATAGTACTTAGTGTACAATAATATATTGTATTCAAAATATTGTTCCAAAGCTCATGGCTTTGGAACATCAGACCAAGATAATATACAAGAAAATATGTGACTCAGTCAGACTGAACCTCTTTAAATAGAATCAAGTTGAATTATATCGTGTTGATAAATTCATAGATAAAATTCTTAGACAATTTAAGAAGAATATGTACAGCCTTCCTCAGGATGATCAGCTTATTATAATCATGACACCTGGTAACTGTAGCAACGAGTTTCTTGATGGCTGTTTTCGATACAAGGTCATACTCGTATGACACAGACAGAGGACAAGGAGTACGTTTGACGTTATCCTCGTGAGGGAACATTGCACATAGTTATAGTGAGTATTATTGAACCATGCAGTCAATCAAAGGTTTTTAACATATTTGGTACATATTTCTGTAACATTTTACGTTGAACTGAAAAAGTTCCAGGCGGTTAAAATTGCCTTGCCTATCATTGACAAGGCAATAATTAATTCACGCGATATATATCGCCGCACACAATTAGAACAACACGGTTGTCACTAGCACATTGCTTGATGGTTGTCTCCGATACAACTTTGGAAATATTTATATTATGTAAATACGTTGGTAAGATTAATGAGACTATATGTAGCGCCGGTTTCACCACCTCTATATAAGATAGTTCATACAAATTACGTTTTTAATTCAATTTATCTGGTAGATAACGACTATCCAGATATTGTGAAACAGGCCATTAGTTCATTAAACATTATAGAAAAAGAGTTGCCTGGTAATGTTGGGCAGGCTGTATATTATAATTAAATTAAAAATGTTTTTTTATTGACCATTGAGTTTGTATTCGACTCAGATCTCTATGTTGTACATCCCCAGATATACGAATATTATCAGAGAAGTTTCTTGACGGTTGTTTGTCGATAGAATACTCCTTGTACGACACTCTGTTTGATCATGAATCTACTAATATGGAGGAAAAAATTGTAAGTAACTGCAACTGTACATGCTACTTGTAAGTACTGATTAAGTACATGAGCCTCATCGAACTCTTATATAACAGAATTACGGAGGTTCCACGTAGGACGAGCAATGTCGTCTTAGCACAACATGACACAACTAGAACAAGTACACACAACGTGCACTGAGCGCACTGGTACAATATTGTACAATACTCACTACCGACAACAAATGATTGGTGATAAATT